TTAAATATATGATTTGGTAATTATTATAGTAATAAAAAGATGATCAATTGTAAAAATCAAAATTATAAATTTATAATATATTTAGTTAAAGTTTAATAAATAAATATAAACCTAAATTGACAAATAACTAATTATTAAGTCAAAAGTTATTGTTCTTTGAAAATTAGAAAATTTGATATTTATCAATAAGTTATTTTATTTAAAATATTTTAGAAATTTTATATTTAATAATAAAAATAAAAAAAAACTTTTAATTAAAGTTAATTAAAATTGTATAATATATATAATATTCTTAAATGCACATCTTTTTAAATACTTACTTATGCTTAGACCCAAGAGTATGCATTTAAAGAGATACACTCTTTTGACAAAGATTACTAAAATTTTCAAAATTATATACAATCGATAATTATGACTCACATTATACAATAATTTTTTTAAGACAAATTTCTTACTATAAATACAATTTTTTTTTACAATTATACTAAAAGTCAGTCTATTTGATCTATATTTTTTTTTTAATTTTTTTTTATTATAAAACAAAAAAAACAATTTACTAAGAATCAACATGTTCAAATTATTAGTACTTAAAGAAGTAATATACAATCAGCAAAGATTATATAAATCTTAGACTTACCAAAGAGTACCATCTATAACAATGTTTCTTTTTATAAAAAAAAAAAGAATTAAAATCTTTTTTCATTCTAAAATAGGCTTTAAAATAACTGAATATAGTTCTCATCATTTTATATATCTTTTAAAAGATGATAGAAAGACTAGTTTAAATATTTTGATAAATAAATTTGTAAAATTAATATTTGTTAAGGTGTTTACATATATCATACAATGTCATCTTTATAAAGAAGGATTTTTTGACCAGGTTGAAAAGAGAAAATCATTCATAAATAAAATCACTTATTTGGATTATTTGGAATAGGCTAAAGAATAAGAATATTAGAATAAAAAGTAGAAAAATATTATTTAAAATGACAAATCATAGTTTAAAATGATAGTTGTATGTATATTTGAAAGAAACTAAAAGAAAAATATAATATAAATTGTTTAATTCCTATATTTAGATTAGGAAAACAGAGTATAATAATTTGAGAATGTTTTAGTTATTATGATTCCTAGATTTTTAGTTCAGATTTTTGATAAGATGAATTTGAAAAATTATATCAAAATTCTTCATAATTGCTTGTTATCTTTTTTAAGAAGTTTAGAAAACATTGTTGATGAAAAAAAATATCTATTTCAAAACAACAATTTGAGAATTTATACTTCAACTTTTATTATGAATTGACTTAAAGAAAATGATATTGATCAACTTTCCTAACCTTCATGCAACCCCAATCTCAATCTCATTGAACATATTTAGAATAAATTGGAACATCATATTTGTAAACATATTCTTCTGCCAAGCATCAAGTCAAAACTATTCAATTTGCTGCAAGAGGAATGGTTTAATCTTGATGGTTTGATTTTTAAAAATCTTGTTGAAATTATGTTTCTGCTGTAATCAAAACTAATAAATACCTTATGTGATATTAATAACTGTAAATAATAGTTTTTTTTTAATTTACTATTAAATAAAAAAAAATCGACCCAAATTATTAAGTGGGTTGTCAAGAAATTGCAGTTGAAAAACTTGTAAAAAAAATGATCGCCAATTTGTAATTGTAAAAGTAATTATAATCACTATTAAAATTATAATAAGTAAATTTTGGTAAGCACTGTTAAAGTCATATGAGTCAACTGACCCAGGTAAGAGCTCTATAACTTAAGCATGCCTTTACAAATTAAATTTTTTTCTTATATTAATCATTATAGTTTGTTTTTTTGATCTTACAAGCATTCACCTTAGACTACATGAATCCTCAACATGATATAGAAATGCTAGAATAACTTTATCTAAACGATTCATCCATCCTTATCTTAAACAGCACTATTACGGTCAATTATGTTTTGTAAGATTTTTTTATTATTATTAATTATTTTGACGATGTTTAATAAATGGTAAAGTTTCCAAATATTTCTACATTTAGATACATATCACACATTTGTGACATAATTAAATAATGGGATTCTTTATTAAAGGAATCTAATTCAGCTTGACTTGGGTCATTCAATGTTTTGGTTGTTAAGGATCTTTCGTAAACTTATATTTGTACAAAGTTGAAGGTCGTTTGAAGGTTGTCTCATCCTCTTTCTCCTCTGATTCAGCTGACCCATGTCAGTTGTTTTGTGATTTTGATGATGCAATAAATACATTCGTTAAGTTCTATTTGCTCTAATAAGGTTTGAATGTAAATAACGAAAAGACGTTTATTCAGACATTCGATTCTGCAATCGATTTTTACAATTATGCACCAGCAATGATTATTAATTCTCAGTTTGGAGATCAACATGAGCTAAATAAACAATCAATGAAACAAATTAAAGTTTCGGCACCATTGATTTATAAGCGTGGGCAGTAAACTAGTATTATTTATTGTGATTTGCAAAAAAAAAAAAAGAAATGCACGATCGTTAGATGTTTTTGATCGTGATTATAAAACTACTTCAATATCTGAATATGAAATTATCAAAAAATCGAGTGATTTCTTTTTGATCTATAAATTCACAAAATTTTACAAACCGCCAAATAAGATGCTCTGCACAAATGTCGCATAAGTTACATAAATCTAATTACATAGTTGAGAATTTATATTGTTAATATGAGTATTTCATTTTTAATAGGCAGCTCAAATATTTGAAAGAATGCAATTCGCATTCGGGTTTTGTACTTCTCTTGTGGGGATCTTTATCCGGTCATTTACTTTCACAGCTCATATCTTAATAAATTTTGAAGCTATTCAAGAATTCAATAGGCAAACAAAAACTCAGATTTCAAGCTTCTTTTGAATATTAAATAACTAAACTAACTAGAGTTTGGAACCAGTTTTATTTTCCTTATGTTAAATCCGATTAAAACCGAATTTAACATAAGAAAAATAAAACCGGTTTCAAACACTAGCTCTAACTGTAATTTTTATTAATTTTGTATATTTTTATTTGGTTTGTATGAATTATTTTTAAATTCAAACTTGTATAATGTTTAGATTCAAATATCTAAGTTATCTCAGCTGTTCCTGTCGTCTGGTTGGACCAAACCAATTTGATTCTTTATTTAACATACTCGACTCTTCTGTAACCCTACATCTCTATTACAAGTTCTTCTATGTATGTTAAACAACAATCCAAAACCAGTTGTTAACTCGTTGGTTCTTATCGCTATACGTATTCTAGTGGCTCATCCCTGACGGGTATGCCCAAAAAAAGCTCGCTATCTAGTCAAATCAAATTTTAATATTAGGAGTAACATATGATTAAAACAAACCAATACTTAATAGCGAAAATTTTAGGTTTGTAACGCTAGGCATATTTCCGGCCCACTTCACTAATGCATCGTGTATCACCATTCGATGACAGGTCTGACACTAAATAAATAATTCAACACTAAATTTAGTAATAACGAGTAAATCTATTTAGTTAAGTACGCACGTACGGACCTACATACTTAACAACTTACCCCTAACATTAACGTTTGATGGAAAGCTATGCGTACGTAGCTGACTACGGCTTTACTTATTCGCGAGTAATACAAACCCTTAAAAAGAACTAATCAATAGCCTTATTGCCCTTCATAATCACGTGAATACATTAAGACCATCGTTATAGGAACTTATTAGATATTTCCCTTTTTTGAGGATGTTCAAATGACCATCATCTGATACAACGTTAATCCAAATCATAAAATGAGGCTGAAAATTGACATTCTCCGTAAATTGATTATACGCATAATGATAAGAGCACAATCGGTTCAAGAATTCATTCAAATTAATTGTGACATGTTATATGAATTTCAAATCCTTTCAGTTAAAAATCCACACTATTTAAAATATTAATAATACTAAAACTAATTTGGATTTTGTCCGTGTACCTACCGTCACTCGATAAATCCTACGCAATGTTGCCCGGAACAGCACTCGATTCATTCTTATATTGATGCCGATCTTATAGGGCTGCGGTCTTATCGTAAAAAATCAGATTGTTTTTGCGTAGAAAATACTGAGGAATCATGGATTTCATACATCTGATATGGCAAATGACTAATAGAAAATTATTTATGGCAATTTGTCACTATTAAACGAAGATTAATGAAGAAGTTTTACCATATGCTTACATCAATGAAAGCTAAATATAGTTTCCGTGCAAATATTTATTTACACTGTAAAAAGATATATAAAAAGGTCGAGACCGCTATTTCGGTCTACTTTGTTAAAGGCCGGTTATATGACCATTATTGAATTGTAATCTCGATAGTTAAGGGTCCGACACTCAAGATCCCGAAGATTTATCACTCCGACAATTATTTTAACTATCATGGCATTAATTAATCTTAATGCTGATAAAATTAACAGTTTGATTTCGCCTGGTATTGAAGCCAATATTTTTATAGTAATTATAGTGATTACAGAATCTGTTCCTATAAATAACAAGTCTCTTATCAATTGAATACATATGCATTCTTACAATGTTAGATTAGTCATATGATTTTTATTTTATACGTACATAATTTATAAAATTACATCTCTATTTCAGGAACTATTCAATGAATGTTATCTTGGTCTTTTTATTCGCACGATCCCATGATACGGTTTTTCACTTGATAGGAATATTGGCTGCATACACAGAACTTTGAAGATATAGTGTGTGACATTATTTGTTTGTTGACAAATAATACGTATTATAATATATTTAAATATTATATTACTTATTGTTAGTTTTTCCATAAAAAGCGTGAGAAAAATACGCACATCCTCACGTTATAATTAGTATGTACGAGAAGTAATTATCATTGATCTCTATATATAAATAATAATATACTCTATTCAGCACGGGGAAATTTTTCAATATATCTTTCTTTTAAGATCTGCTATACGAATATGCTTTGTAAAATGAATGTAAAAACGAAATCGATTTATTTTCTTTCTGCTTCTCGCTTTCAAAGTTATTATCATAATCAAGTTCGTCGTTTACAATCTATTGCGTTAAGACGTGAAGATAAAAGTCATTGGGAACGTCGTGTGGCTTTAACACCAGATACTGTTTCTAGATTAATAAAAGAAACTGGTGTTAAAATATATGTTCAGCCATGCAATAAACGAATATTTAACAATAATAAATTCATAAATGTAATAATATATTTGATGTTTTTTTTTCAATTTTAATTTATGTTTTCTTCTAGATTAATATAACTATTATATCCCTCCTTAGGCTGGAGCGATTGTTCAGGAAGATATCTCAAACGCAGATGTTATTTTGGGAATTAAAGAAGTCCCAACAAAATCTCTAATTCCGAATAAAACTTATATGTTCTTTTCACATACTCATAAAGGCCAGTTATATAACATGTATATGTTACAAGATATACTTGATAAGGTAGAATAAATATTTTGAATATATAGATATCGATATAAATTGTATAAACGTTCCTACTTAATTATCTTTATAGAAAATTAGGTTAATTGATTATGAATTAATGACTGATGCACAAAAACGACGTTTAGTTTTATTCGGGACCCACGCTGGTTATGCTGGTAAATAAAAAAATAAAATGAAATAATTTATTATTACTATTTTTTAGTAACAATATTTATTCATTTCGAAATGTGATATAGGAATGATCGATGGACTTCACGGTTTGGGACGAAGACTTCTAGGCTTGGGCTATAATACTCCATTTATGGTATATAACATATAACAATTTATATAATCAGTTTATAAATAGCTTATTTATAATTTTTATATTTTTGTAGCATATCGCTATGTCTCATACGTACAAGTCTTTAGAGTTGGCAAAATCTGCTGTTAAAGATATAGGTGACGTAATTTCCGATGAAGGTCTTCCAAATGATTTTAATCCTATGACTTTTGTCTTTACTGGGACTGGAAACGTCTCTAATGTAAAAAAATGAATTCCTTTAAAAATTTTGATCTTTTTTTTAAAAGATTTGTTTAAGCCAATATCTGTTATTTATTAATAATCTATTTAATAATATATTAATAGGGCGTGCAAGAAATATTTAAATGTCTGCCACACGAATATATTAGAGTAAAAGATTTGCAAGAATGTATCAAGGCACCTCGTATGTATTTCGCATAAAATAACTTGTAAGATTTTCAGTTATTCATTTTGCATATTTTATATTTTAGATAAATTTAGCAACCGTAAAGTATATGGATGTCAAGTGTATCTTGAAGACTATTTAATTAACAAAATAACCGGAAAGTTTGGTACAAAAGAAGATTATTACAATTATCCTGGCAATTATCATTCACTATTTCATACAAAGGTAATAAGCATTTCTCACTCAGTCATGTAAACTTTCTTTTTCACTCACTATAACTTCATCATAGATCGCTCCGTACACGTCAATGCTTATTCATGGTTCTTATTGGGACTCGCGATATCCTCGACTTATTACCAAAGATCAACTTTGCGAGATACAAAAAAACTCTAATAATAGCAGATTGTTGTGCATTGCTGATATAAGTTGCGATATTGAGGTAAGTAAATTTTAAAAGGCTCTTTTATTTGTAAAATTTTATACAATTAAATTTTTCTTGTCTTATTAGGGCGCTTTAGAATTTTCTCATTCAACAACTATCGATGATCCATTCTTTTATATAGATGCTGTCGAAAATGTTGAACATAAAAAGTATGCAAATTATTTTTTAAATTATACTTGCAACATCTTTAGATTCTGAACTTACACTTTACATATATATGTTAGAGACGAAGGTAAAGGAACACAGATCATGGCTGTAGATATTTTGCCTACAGAAATTCCTCGTGAAAGTAGTGAACATTTTAGCAGGTCACTCTATCCCTTTATGAAAGACTTGGTTTGTTTAGATTATGAATTATTATGAATTTTATATCATTATTCTAAAATATTAACTAATAAAAAAAAAACTCTTATATAGATCAATGGAACCATTGATGACAATTCAGTGCTCTTTAATGCCACCATCACAAAAGATGGTCGGCTTATGGATGCACACTCTAAATTGTCTAATTTTTTACCAGGAAATTATTTATCTCAATTTCGAGAAAATAACTTCTATTCGCCTTTTATTGGCAAGCCGGTAATCTCGGACAATTCATCAATAGGAGGAAATCAAAATATATCAATTTAATTTAATTTATTTCAATATATATGATTACTTTAAGTATTTTATATATATGCTGTATAGCATTTCTTTTTACTTACGTACAGTAGAAAATCTGAATAAATTTAATAAATATCAATGCTAATGTATACGTAGTATGTACCAATACGTATGCACGTGCGCAGTAAACGGGAATAATATTGTAATATCGATATTATGTATTGTTTTTGTGTGACTCTTTATGTGGCTCAAACTTTTGAAGATCAAATTAACTAAAATATCCAAATTTAAATTTCTATGTACCGATAACTTGCGGGTAGGCGTTTTGAAATAGAATTACATCATAAATTCCAAATATAAAATTTGTAACAATAACCGATAATAATAATTGAAAATTCTTACGTACTCTAACCTTAATTTAATTAGGAAGTTCCACTTAAATTTCGTTCTTACAACACATATTTTTTTTAAATAAATTAATTTATTGCAGCATATTTATTATATATATATTCTACTAAAGAATATGTATGCTCAGTTAGTAAATAACCACATCTTTCAATTAGTTGAACCATTTTAGTATATATGTTGTATGTAATAAACCAAATTTAATCATAAAATAAGTAAATTTTCTTTTTACAAAGCAAAATAATCTTAAGATTTTATAAAAAAAAAGTTAAAATTCTTTCTAAAAAAATAAAAATAAAAATACGCAAAAGAAAACTTGTTTATATGATAACCTAAGAGATAATTACCTTTAAAATAATACTGTTGTGCGTCAAATTAATATCTGCGTCAGATTAAGATAGTTTATAATCCCTTAATTAGGATTCTGTAGGTGCCAGGCACGGGTACTAGTAAAATATAGTGCCAGGCACCGCACGTGCCCGGCACTTGCAGAACCCTACCCCTAATATAGGTTATAGGATGTAACCCTAATGAAACTTACTGGAAAATATTTTGGCCAGTAAAGTGAGTTCATTATATCGCAATAATAATAATAAACGATGGTCGAGATTTTGTGCTGATTGGCTAAACTTTAAGATTCGCATTTCGCACTATGAATCTTCAAAAGTGCCAGGAAGATTACTCAATTAATCGTTGTGATATCTAATTACATTTAGGGGTTATTTATACCTGACATGTTAAGTATGCGCGATATACGACTTTTATTATGTTAACTACACGGTCAATTTGCAATAATACAAATTAAATACTTAAATGCGAACCAATATATAATAAAACACTTACCTGAAAAGATACTTTGTTTCAGCTAAACAGTTAGCTTACTCGTCCTAGTTATCACGTAGTGGTGTATCTTATGACTAGGTTTATAACAAAGTTGTATTCTTAGTAGGTCTAAGCAATAAATGACATGGTTAACATTGCCTATTAACATAAAATATTAATCAAGGCCTCAATAAATGGGTGCAAATTATTTAAGAAAGTTCTCAAAGGTCTAAAATTCAGTATATTATATATTTTAGTAAAAGAATTGACTATTCAAAAGAAAGTTATCATTAGTTTTCTTAATCACTTAGCTGTTTTGCTTTCTAAAGAAATGTTAGCAATACCTTCTGAAGTATTAAGCAGTTCTCGGATAGAGGATTCAAAAAAGTTTTTAAAAATAAATATAAATTATTGTTTCTTAAACTCTTTTATAAATAATTTTTTAAAGGTAGAGTGTAATATTTTAAAATTATATATAAACTTGATGGTATATTTTTTTTGTAATTTCAATTATGAAATTTTTTACTAATTAAATATTTTTTAAGCTTTTAAGTTGTAAAGTAGGTTCTTATAATTCTAACAGTAATAAAATTATTAAAATTAGTTTAAAACTCATTGATATGAATTTTTAAAAATTAGATATAAAAATTTACTATTAAAATTCTTTTATAATTTCTCAGAAATTAGCCAATTAAAGTTAACTTTTTGTATAATTAGAAAAAAATATAAGACATTTAGAGAAAATTCGGAATATATATAAATATAATTTTTTTAAATTAAATATTTTATAAAATTTTAATATAAGAAATAACTTATTTAAATTTATATATTATTGAATTTTTATAAAAATTAATTAATAAATAAAAAAGTTTTATTAGTAATACATTTTAATTTACTATATAAAATTCTATTATACTATTTAGGTTATATGAAAAATAATTTATATACATCTTATTTTTAAATAAATCTGAACAATTCATATTTATAAATATAGAATAACTTTTCTATATTTGATTAATTATATAAATTAAATATTATATTATAATTTATTATTTTATAAATCATATCAACTAATTAATAAAAATTTTTTAATTATAAATAATATAATATATTAATTTTATATATATGAAGTAAGTCAATAAAAAAAAACAAATTTTTTCTAAATAAAGTTTTTTTAACTTTAAGCTTAAATATTTTAACAACTATTTTATTAAATTTAATAAATTCTTTGATTTTAATTTTATATAATTTTAAGATTAAAATAAAAAATTTTTAGTAAATTTTATTAGATATTTGTTGAGTTATTTTAATTTAAAAATCAAAAAAAATTTGCTAAAAATAATTTGTTTCTTTTTTATTAATTCTTTTTATATATTAATTAAACCTTTAAATTTAAATAATATATAACAACCTAAATTAAAATAATTTAATATAATTTGATTTAAATAAAAAATTATTTTATAAATATTTATTATTATATAAAATTATAATAAATAATTTTTTATTAAATATTAAATAATAAAATTATAAATTTTTATAATATATAATTAAACTATTTTAAATATAAATTATAAATAATAAAAATAATAATAAAAATAATAAAAAAAATAATAATAAAAATAATAAAAAAAATAATAAAAAAATAAAGTTTATTTAATACTTTAAAAAAAATAAACATAAATTTTTAATATGGTTTTAAATAATACTAAAAATATTTTAAATTTAAATATATAAATTTTTTTTAAAATTAAAGTTACTGTTACTAAGAACTAATTTTTATTCAAGTTATATAAACACAAAAAACTTTAAAAACTTTTTTATATAAAAAGTTACAACTAATTATATATATACTTTTAATACTTAGGTTGTTTATACATTATTATACAGATTTTATACTAAATATTATATATAAATTTTAAAATTTTAAAATATGAAACTATTTTTTTTTTTATTTATTTATATAATATTATAGTAAAAACTTTAAAATACAATAAGAAATTTAATTACAAAAAAAAATTCCTAAAATAAAGATTTCTAAACTACATTTATGTTGCTAAAAAAATAGATATCCAATGTAATATTACACTTTCTATTTCCTAATAAGTACTATAAATAATCGTTTTAAATTATTTTCTAACTAAGATAGGTTAGAGAAAACCTTAGATAAGAGTCAAGATATTATATAAAGCATGTAGTTAGAATAAAACTTTGTAAAAGCTATTTGTTAATTGTAGGTATAATGTTGAAAGTTTGCATAGCTCTTGAAAAGTTGTTAGTAGAGGTAGATATTATTAAAAAGTGACATTTGTATGTTTAGTTTTAGTAGTTATATTTTAAGCAAGTTCTTATTAATGTTGAGATATATTGCATATAAATCATATGTCTTAATAGTATCAGATGAGAAGATTGTTGACTAGATTAATCAAAAAGATATTTGTTTGTTTATTTAAAAGAACTTTGATATTATTGTAGATTGTTATAAAGAAAGTACCAGATATGATATATAAGATAGATTGATAATTAGAATTGGTGCAATTGGCTGTGAAGTTTAAAATAATATTAAAAATAAAAGGTATTAAACTATTAGATATTTGAAATAAGATGAGTGTTAATTGGATTGTATTAAGAATTGCTTGGTTTATATTAATATTATTGCCTGTACAGAGAAAAAAATAGAGAGTGTTTTTAAAGTTTATATACTGGGAGCATGTTGATGTTGTATAAAGATAAGAATAGCATATATTAAGATTTTTCATAGTGGGCAGGTTGTTTATATAAATTTTGATACAAAAGGAGCATTTTTGAATGTCATGTTCTATAGATTTGATTATTTAAAAGTTGAGAGTTCAGTTAGGTTTTGAGATATTTTGGAAATATTTAAGTGTAAACAAGAATAAAAGTTCTTGAATTGTAATAATATTTTTGATAAAATTATAAATTTTGAATAGTATAAGATGATTATTCTATAGAAACTAAGTTTGAGTAATTGGCAATAATAGTTCAAGAATGGGTTTAGAAGTTCCTCATTTGGCTAAGGAGTCTGCTTAGTTATGAAATAAATTTGTATATAATTTAATTTTTAAAAATTATATATTGAGGTTTTTAAGAGTTTTGAAATAATTGATTAAAGAAATAATATCCTAATTTTTAATATGTAATTGTTTTAAGAAAGAGATGTATTATAGGTTTTTAATTGCTGTTTTGTTGTTGAGATAAATTGTAACAGTAATGTTAGATGATATAACTAAAAAAAGTGATAGAACTACTTCAAGTTTAGTGTAATTAGTATCAGCATATGATTTTGTACTTATATTAAAATTTATATTAGTGTTTGTTTTACAAATCCAACCTATGTCTAATTTAATATTTGATGTTTGATAGTCTTTAATAAAACCATCAGTATGAAAGATTAAGTTGTCTAAGTTAGAGTTTTTGATTGAAGAGTAGAGTTTGATTAATTAATTTTTATATGAAGTTAATTTAACAATTTGTTGAATGCATTATATTTTAGAAGAAGTTAAGTTTACTGAAGGATAAGAAAAAGATAAAGATTAAGAAGATATATAATTGTTAATATGAATAAGTGAGAGAATTTCATTAAAGTCAATTTGTAATAAGTTTTTAGTGAGTTTAAGTTGATTGTAAGGAATACTAATAGATTAAAAGTTTGAGATTATTAGAAGTAAGGTGAAAGTAATCATAGTAAATCCAAATAAGTGATAATGGAGTTAGTAGAAATTGGTTTGTTGGAAATAAATTTGTTGCAAAAGGAAGATTTGTTGATTGTTATTGTAAAAGATTTTGTAAGAAAAGAAATGTGTTAAAAAAAAGAAAAGAATGTCTATCAAGTTAATAAAGAAGTTTTTAGAAAGAAGATTTAAATGAGGCTAGGTTGTAGTGATATTGCAATTTTGTTAGAAGAAAAGATTTGTATAAACCATGTTGGTTGACAACCTTGTGTAGATTTGTTAGTTCACAAATATATAATATTCTATAGAAGAAAATGTAAGTTGTCTGCTTTTGTAATTTGTTTAAGAAATAGGATTCTGTTGTTTCTTAAACTTTGAATAATTAGGTTGAATAATTTTAAAGGAAGTACATTATATATTATTTTGTAATTTGTAAAGATTTATAATAATGGTAAAAAGTTTGATAATGAGATATTGTGTTTTGCAAATTAGCAAATATAAAAAATTAGTATAAAGTTTTGTGTTTTGTAATAGTGAATATTAAGTATATCTATTGTGAGTTTAGACTATCAAATTTTAAGAAATCAGGTTTTAGTTTGCAAATTACCAATAGTATTAAGTAAAGGTGTAGAACTAAAAATATGTTCAATGTTAGAAGCACTTAATTTTTGTAAAATATTGTTAAGAGTTAGTAGATTAAAGGATAGTAGATTAGTAAAAGTAATATTATTAGTATTTCTTGCTAGTGCTAACATTTTTTTGGATTGAATAGTAAATATTTGAAAGAGTCTAGTTTGAATATTTTAGTAAATTGAGGTTATTTGTAGTAAGTATTCCAGAGAGAGTTAAAGAATAAGATTGAAAAGAGCTGAAATTTGTAATAGTGTAATTTTTTTGTATTTAATAAGGTTAAAAAAGTTTTCAATTTTGTTAAAGATAGTATTAAGAGTTGGTTTTAAGAAGCTGTTTTTATCATAAAATATGTCTAAATATCAGATAATGTCTTAAGGTCTTCTAGGAGAAATAAGTTGATTATTAACAATAAGAATTGTTAAAA